AGACCTGCTGAAGCTGATGGGATTTTCCATGGTGCTCATCAACCTGCATCCAAGCACTTCACAACTGATGGATTTATCTTCACAACACATCTTTGAGGAAAGAAGGAGTTATTATCTGTTCTCCAGATTTGGGGATGGAAGGAGGTGGAAAATGAAGTCCTGGATTTGTAGTTCAGGTTAAGATAAACCCTGTATTTTTGAAGAATTTGGTATTGTACAGCGTTAATCCAGGCACAAGATCCCCTGGCTTCAGCTACCACTGAGAGCACTGAACATTTCTGCAAAGCAGAACTCATGATGTGAAATTAAAAGGGAGGATCACTCCATTAGTGGCTGTCCCCAAGTGACAAGACTGGGTTGAGTTTCCCAATGCCATATAGAACCTCTATAAAAGAGGTAGGGGTAAACATGACATTTTTTAAGGTGTAGTTTCCAGGTTTTTTCCATAAGAACGTCTTCTGGTCTTATACCAAACACCTCCCAAATGCTGCAAAAAAAAAAAAAAAAAAAGACAAGTTCCCTCTAGTCCCTTCATCAACCACTCGGATTCTTCCCCAGGCTACAACCAGTCCTGAGTGAATCAGGAGTCTCAGTGACCAAAAAGGAGTATGAGAACATGTGGTTTAGGGCAATGTGTGCATTAGCAAAAGGAGTGACTCTGGAGGGAAAAACAATCTGTGCTGAGGACCCAAAGACCATATTTGGGGGGGTTGCTTCAGGGTAGTTTTAGTCTGGCCTTGTGGCCTGAGTTCCTCTTAATGTAGCAACACATTGGGTGGGGGTCCAAGGAAACCACACTGCATGAGCCAAGGTAAAATCTCATCACCCTGAGGTGGGACTATTGGGAAATTACTTCAAAAACACACTGCTAATCTGAACCTAAATGCAGGTCTAGATGCATCCTAAGACAACTCATAATTCAAATGCGTAGGAAAAAAATAAAGGTTTTGCAGATGGTGTTAATTACAGCATTTCTTGTTTCTTCACCCTTGAAGGATGGAGCTTGGTAATCTTAAAAATGTCCCTTCAATATTGCGTGTATGTCTGTGTGCACACATGCGCACTGACACAGGACCAATGCAGCTGAAAAGTTAACGGAGGCAGATAAATCAAGATGCTTACACTGAAATTAATACTTGGGAGGTCTTGATTCAAGTCTTATTGCATTACTCATTAGGAGTCTTTCCACTGCTGTCAATGGACTTTTGCTTGGATCATGAGTAAAATGTAGTTACCACGGTCACATGGACATAGCAGCTATTACTCACTCAAATTCCCAGAAGGCATTTTGCTGGCAAAAAGACCACAAGATTTGACCCCACTAATGACTTCCATGGTGTTTTCTACACAATATAGATTATCGAAGTAGAGCCATGACTCAGAGGGCTTTCCTGCTCCAACCTGCCTATCATCAGCTTTACCTGCAGTTTCAGAAATGAAGGAAGGCAGAGTCGCCATTCACAAGACATTTGCCCAAGAACAACAGCTTTTGGCCTTTTCTGTAAACCAGGTTTTCTGGTTTATATGTGTTAAAGGGAAGGAAAGAAACCAAAAAAAAAAAAAAAACCAAGCAAGCAAACAAAACAAAGCAAACAAAAGAAAAAAACATAACAAAAACCAAACAAGCAAACAAAACACTTCAAGACATTAAAATTTTGGAATATTTGCTCTGGGAGAAGAAAAGAAAAAAAAAACCATAACTGAGGAACTGGTAGACCACTCAGGTTAATTTAGCATCTCGGGCAGTAATCAGGGAGTATGTGATGTGAGAGAACCTATTCATCCTGCTCCTGGCATCAGAATGTAAGATAATTGATGTAAGAATCCTGTAGACAAACTGTAAGTGTTTCCTAGAGTATATGCAGACAGAGTGTCTGCATTTGTGTCCTTTCCAGGATGCTCATTCTCTGAGCTGGCCCCAATCCTGCTTCACCTCACTCAATGCCCTTAAGACCTATGAAACAACATCAGAAAGAAACTGCAAAAAGAAGATGTTTCCAGTTTTTAGCAAAAAAAGTTAGAGTGAGAAACTCAGGAGCCATTTCCCTCTAAAGCAAATTGAAAGATTCAAACACAATAATACACGAGTGCAAAATACTGCCGTACGAATCCTCCTCTAATTTTCACCATTGCTGAGGTCCTGGAATCAATATCTTAGTCCAACTGCAATCTGTTGATGAGCGAAAGGAGGGAAAGGTTGTAGCATCACGAATTTAAAAATAATAATCTCTCAAGCTTAATATCAGCAAAGATGATTATTTCCTTTTGTTTGTCAGACTAACTGAAAATAGCTTTATAGTTCGCAGATGATTAGCTAGGAGCCAACAAGATCTCCATTTGCATCTCAGTAATTCTTCACTGTTTTATTTTGACATTAGGTCTTTATGCTTAAAATATTCATTGAGAAAGCAGAAAGGTGATCAGCATAAGATTTTAACTGTGTGCTATTTGTTCTGACTTTTTTTACACATTTTTATCAACAGAGAAAAAAGGAAAGAATATACAACATTACAAAATTATTACTGCCTGTTCCGCTTACATCTGCTAAATCCTCCTTTATGGTAGACATAGGTTAACTAGGTTCATTTTGAAACAGGGGAGAAAAAGCCCAAATAAAGGTCAATCCTCTTCCCTCCTCCCCCATTCCCAAATCAAATGACTATTTGACCTCTGTATAATCATCCTGAAAGTTTCGAAGTGGTCTGTCTTATATGAAACATCTTTACTCATGTCAGCCATCCTGCAGAAGAAGCTTAGACCATGCCACTGTTACCCTCTCCAATTACCACCCAAGAGAAAGTGCGTTCAAAATAGCATCTGACAGATATGGTGATTGATATTTTTCCATCCACTTGGCACTGAAAGTCAGGAGTACGCATAATTCTGGGTGAAGAATTCAGTTATTTCATTCCGCATCAAAGAAAATAATAATTCATGTGCAGGTCATGTCTGTCGAGGTTTTTAAGGTTTGGGGGTTGTTTTTTTGTTTGGGGTTTTTTAAGCGTTTTCTCACAGCCTTGGTAACCTCTGTTTATCACACCATGCTTAAACCTCCAGCAAATGGAGTGGGGTGGTAAGACATTTAACCCTTTATTTGGAAAGTAAATGCCCAACCCTTATGATAGTATAAAGAAGCTGGAAGAGTAAATACTGAAGACAAAAAGAAGGACCAATTCCTAAGGATTAAACCATCAGAAATCAAATTATAAGAGCCAAACTTCGCTATTAACACTAATAATATTAATACAGATGGCATTATTTCAAAGAAAACTCTTGCAGGAAGGGGCTGGCTGATGGCCTTTGAGTTTTTGGGAATTGTCCTCCAGCCTTTTGTAACAGATTCTGTCCATTCCTCCAAGCACAGGAACAGGGTCTGGTCCATCTTGATTTCACATCAAGATCTCAACTTCAGACCATCAAATTACACCACCGACTACCCAACGGGGCAGAGCAGAAAACGCTTTTCCAGCTCTTGTCCAAAGTCTTGGGGTCTTTCCTAGCACTGCCCAAAAAGTAGCCAGGACCATGAGGACCCTGCCGTACCTTTGCGCTTATCCCAGTCCCAAACTGTCATCAACACAGGGTTGCCACTGTGGTGGCCACAGTTGACTGAGACCAAAAGGGACCCATCCCACGTGGGAGCCCGACAGCAGGCGGGGGTAGCGGCTGGGCTGCATTCGAGGGACAGGGAGCACACACCGGACAGTGGGGTTACACTAACATGCAGTCCATTTATTTTTGAGGGTTTTTTTTCCTTTGTTCTGTGGTGTTTGTTTTTTTTTTTTATCAAGCCACCGCAAACACTGCGTTGGCTGTCAGCATGAGCGCAGAGACACACATTCCCGTACCCGTGGTAACTATGTAAATAAATACCATCAAAACAAATTTTTTTAAAAAAAATTAATAAAGAAAGAAACATATTGCCTTTCCCACCCCCAAGCACAAAACACTTTTAAGTCAACAGAATTTAATCTAGTTTATTCTCCAAAAAAAAAAAAAAAAAGGAGGAAAAAATATGAAAACAAAACAAAAAAAGCAGGTCTTATCACTAGCAGTAAATAAATTTGTACAACCATTCAGTCTGTATAATAGGATGAAATAAATCTACATCTTTCTTATTTTGGTGCGTTGAATTATACATACAAACAACAATTACAGGAACTTGTTCACAATGCGTATAGACCTGGAGAATGGCTATCTGAAAACCCCTGTTGGCAATGTCCGCATGTTAACACTGATTGCCTGACACCATTGGTACTTCCTATGTAAAAGGCCCGTGGCCCGAAATGAATGATCTCCCTACAGGTTTTATTTATTTAGTTATTTATTTAATTAGTTAGTTAGTTAGTTAATGCATCATCAAAACCGTTCTAGCCAGCCCCCTCCCCCTCCCCGGAAACAAAAAAGAAACCGAAAAAAAAAACCAACCAAAAAAACCAAAATAAAAATAAAATAAAAGGAGAAGACATGACTGGCAGTTGGTCCATTTGTTCGTAAGACCGCGTTTCCTCTTGGTCTGCATTGTTTGTTTTTCTGGTTTTTAAATTGTCCTCCCGTCCTCTTTTTTTTTTTCTTTTCCGTTAAAAAAAAATCTCTTGGAGTCCTTCATGCCTTTTTCTTTACAGCTCCCCAGATGCAATAAAGTCTTCCTCAAATGTACAGTATTTCTTACAATATAAGTTATATGCAATGTTCAGCGTTTTTTATTTTATTTTATTATTTTTTTCACAGCACTAGAGATCTTGTCCAATAGGGAATGCAAGTTCTGAATGGCTTATTCACAAATGGTATCCAGATTCAGTGGGTAAGAATACATAGACGCCATAGTGAGTTCCTTTAAAAAGTGGCAAACATCACTTTTTTAAAACCTTTTTTTTTTTACTTTTTTCTCTTTTTTTTCTTTTTTTTTCCTTTTTTGTGCTTTTTGTCGTTTTTTTCTGGGTTTTTTTTTTTCTCTCTTACGCCTTCAAATAACATTTTTATTTATTTTTTTTTATTCTTTTTTCCCCCTCCCATTTGATTTGGGACGTCAGACCCATAACCATACGCCTGCAAAAATGCAAGTATATAAAGTAAATCTCATTTTGAGACCGTAAGCATTCAGCAGGGGAGTCTCTCGCTAACCCATGGCGGTGACCATACTGGAAGGATGGTGAGGTCCGAAGGAGAGGCTGGATGGAGGATGCATCGGTGTCGGTGTAGTCAGCATGTGGCTGGAGTGACTGAAAGGTGAAATGTGGCTGATGGAGGACATGTGTCTGGAGAGGGCGGCGGGGTTAAAGGAGCTGCTCTTGGGAAAGTCTTCAAGGTTGTCATGGACCTTTTTGCACTTTTTGGATTTGCTAGACATTTTTCGGTTTCTGGTCTGAATTCCTTCTTTCTTCATAGTCAGGGGTCTGTTAATCTAAACAAAAATCAATTATTTTTTTTGTGCTTCCATCCCTTCTCCCCGAATCACTGTGGGATTCGTGTACCCCATGCCCGGGCAGTCCCAGGGATATGTCCAGGACCAGCTGGACAGCCAGCAGCCCCCCCTTCCTCCCCTTGTATGCCCCATGTGCCACACACAACCTCTCCCCCCATCCCAAAATTCAGATCCCACCAGGAAATCCCAAGTTCGGTTGAAATCTCTGAAGACAAGACGACATAAAATTGCTGGCAGAGCCCCAAGGAAGCAAAACATATCCAAATAACTTGCAGCGGCTGAAAAATTTCAGCTATCTGCACATTAGGTAATTGCACCATGTTTAGGAACGAAACCAATCATTATCACCTTGAAATATTCCCCACAGACACCATCTCACCCCGAGGCTTCCTGACTGATCTAAAACCATTAGCGGCAAGAGCTGCTGGGATTTCAATGCTACGAGGGGTCTCAAACTTTCACAGCAGCATTAGGCAGCTGGGCAAACTCTTCACAAAAGTGGCAGGTATTTGGCTTCTTTTTCTTCCTTGGAAAGATTTTGCTCCGACCATCCTTTCAGGTTTACTTTAGCAGATCCAATTTTATTTCTAAAGCCTTCCAGGTGTTTTTTTGGGGGTGCTGAAACAGGTTTCTGTGCTGCCCGGCAGAGCATATTCTACTTGCATGCAGACATATCTATCGGAAACCTAAGCATTATATTCTTCTGCATGGATATAAGCAGCTGCAGTGACCAGCCATACACCCGTCAGGGTTGGGAAATGGTAGGAAAAGGTCTGTTGGACCTCCTGTAAGAAACTCCTATGGCTGCCTGGAGAGCCAGCATCACAATGTGCATTAGATTAGCACAGGTGCCATGAAAGCCCCGAAGACCACACTTGGGAAGGGATTGATGCATTCGATATCCATAAACATCCTTGAAAATCTGGACTTGGGAGTCTACATGGGGAGTTATATAGGTCTTGCATTGGCTCCTCTGCAGAATTTTACCCATAGCAGAAGGCAGGAGAGCCCAGGAGACCCCCCCCAGGGCTGAACACTGAAAAAAAAGATAAATGTGAGCACACGGCAGTGCTGATGGATATTCTGCAAACTTGAGAAAAGGGGGAAAAAATGGATCCACTATCCACCGAGAACTACTGTTTCAACCCCGGCGAAGGACAACAAAAAGAGGTTCCTGCAAGGGTCCTGAGCAGATCTTCATCCATAAGATCTTAAATCAGTGCAAAGGACAAAGCACTCCCTTCTTCCAGATTACAGCAAAGTTTCACTTCTTGCTCATCAGCCACTGCCTGGTGCCTTTCCCCACAGCGTAGGAATCATTCATGGCTTTCTCTCCCCGGGGAGGCAGGGATACAATAGCTCCCTGTTACACACGGGGATGGAGGCACGGGGAGAGGAAGGACCAGGCTCATCTGCTCCAGTTTAAGCATCCCAAAATTCATCATCCCAGTCTGAATTAGTGACCCCATGCTCTCCGTACCAGCAGTGATGGGAAACTTCACCTCATACTAAAAATGGGTGAATAAAAGGCTGACTCCTCTACCTCTGAATAAAGAGAGCCGGAGGGAGCAGCCCTGCTTGCTAAATGTAGGAGGGAGAAAGCTGCCCATGCACAGCCCAACAGCAGCCCTGGGGCAGCAACAAGCAAAAACCTCAAATGTCATGGGCTTTAAATACAACATCACCCGTCTCCCTGGCTTCTTGTTCTCACCGAGGGAACAGGGATACACGCACAAGGAAGGCCCTTTGCTCCAGCTAGATGGCTGGGATGGGAAATCTTTGCCTGACCTGTTTTAAGTCAGCCAGCAGGGATGCGTTGCCCAAGTTCAAAGCCAGGAGGAAGCCCCAAGTGAGCCCCACCAGGCAGCGATGCTGGAGAAGACCTGGAAGTCTGGATCCCTGATGAATCCAGCTCAGATTTGGGGAGGCACACAAAAGCCCCAAGCTCCCCAGCTCCTAACGAGGATTTGCATTGTGGCACAAAGGCTCAGGGGCAGCCAGAATTGATTTCCAGCTGAAGCAGCAAGGGTGCAAGCTCAGGAGTTGGTGGTGGCAAAGTGATATCAGCCTGGTGCTGGGACTGGGGCTGTGCTGGCTCTTAGAGCAAGCACGGGGTCCTGACCCTGTGTAGCTTGGTGTCGTGTCCTGCAGGACAATGACCACTTCCCCAAAGCAAAGTCTCTCATGTTTCACTCAATCGCTAAGAACAGATTAGCCCAGGCCGTGATTTGATTTGAAACTTAAGGATGGGAATGTCAGTTTTGCTCAGGATGGTGGCCAGCCCTGCAACTGGGGTCAGAGATGCCATCCAAGCTCTTAGCTGGACACATCATCCCAGTGGACGCGGTCTCACTCTCCAAGTGGGTACCTGATCCAAGTGCCAAACAGATAAAGACTCGGATAAATGTCAGGACAAATGAGACCAGCACAGTCACAACAGCAAACTGAAAATTTTTTCCAGTGATTTCAAAGGCCAGCCACAGCAGAGTTGAAGCAATCCCCAAAACATCAAAGCCATGAACCCATCTCTGTTTCCGGAGTAGAGAAACGAGACCCAGAGGGAAGACCTTCTCCATGAAAATTCATTGTGATAAAAATGACAAACACATGCTAAATTAAAATTAAACCAGCCCAATGCATGTATATGCAATTCATTAATTTCAGATGGAGGCAATTAATTATGGGCAGGAATTATGCTCTTTGTTTTATCATATGCAAAATACCGACTGCTCTGCTCTTGGGACGTATAGCCCTGCTTTAGGATATTGTGAAATAGAGGCCTTTTCTGAGGACTTTTACCAACAATGGCAACTCACTATTTCTATGGGCACAGGCCAGTCTGCTGGTACACTCCCACCCATCCCTGAAGTGAGGGAAGGCTCATCCCGCTTTTAAGAAGGACTAAAATAACAAGGACAAGAACCTTACATTCACCAGATCAAATCCAGGGGATAGTTTTAAACATTATAGGTCTGATCTTGCTCTGACTGAAGACAATGGGATTTTGCCATTGACCTCAATAAGGTCCTGTCACTGAAGCGGATTTATCCTTCAGACGTAGTCATTACAATGTTGGGTTAATCTCCCAGGCTGGTTGTATCTTAGAAAGCACTCTGGGATGCCACAGGATGAAAAGCACCGTATCAATGTGAAATATTAGTCATTTTTAATACTGGTGTTAATGGAGCCGGCTCTTGTTGAAGTCAGTGGGAGAAATGCCAGCAGCTTCACTAAATGCACCCCAAGACTATTATGATTATTGCTTATATCCTACTGACAAATGGGTTTGCTTAAGCTGTGGGAATCAACAGTAAAACAAACTGATATAGCCCCATGAAAAAATAGCCTTTTCACTGCAATCATTCCGGGTGTGGACTTAAACACTGGGCAAGTTTCATCTTCAGATCAATCCATTAAAATACCCTAATAATCTGAAGGCCCAAGAAAAGTTAATTAAACCCAAAGAAAAGACAAAATGGGGGGTGATAAAAACGCGGCCAGGAATTTCCTACAGTCTAGCCTGAAACAGGGTGAAGGCATCTTCCAAGGGGCCAAAGGCCTTCCACTGGCATTGACACAACATCTACGCAGACACCCTCAGCTGCTTGGGAGGGACATGCTACGACGAACCTCCCTATTCCTGACACCTCTCCTGATGGCGAACCGATGCAAATAAGATACACAAAAGGAGGAGGACCACAGCCTACACAAACAGGTCTTGAACTTTAACAGACCAGACCAATTTGCACCAGCCAAGGAACCTTGTCCACGTGCAACCATCAAACTTCCTCCCTGCCTTGAGTTGATTAAAGGACGACGCTGGTGCCATTCACCAGTTAGCAGTTAGCACAGCTCCCTAGCTCCTGCCTCCCAGCAGCCAAAAAGAGAAGGCATCACTTGTGAAGCTACCACCGCCTTACCACTGGTCACGAAAAACTCACTCGTATTTGGCTTCTGAAGCACAAGGTGGCCTTCACAGCCTCTAAAGTCAGTTGGGCTGCAGAATAATGCTCCAATGCTCTGCCATCGTGGACCTTTAAAGCTGAGGGTGGTATGTTCAAGGGCTATCGGCTGCGATGTTGCCTGTTTCTCACCACAGTCGTAACTAAGCATCATCTTAAAAAAGTGGGGAAAAAAAAAAAAAAAAGGATCTATCCACTCATAGCCAGATTTTAGTATCCTTGCCTGGTTATATTGCTGTACACAGTATCTCAGTCCTCTAGGGGTTTCATTTAAGCAGGTTCCATTAATGGGGTTGCTCATAAGGCAAGATATTACTTGACTTTGGTAAGTAGCTGTGCTGAGCTTTTAAGCAGCTGTCGGTGTTTTTAATGAATATGAAAATGGTTCCAATGTGCTCAAGGCCTGCCCCGTGTCACAAATTTCACAGCTGGATCGGAGTTTCCCTAAACAGTGGATCTAGTGGGGGTCAATTCAGGCCAACTAGGTTCACAACATTAGTGTGAAAAACAAAAAGGATGTGCTCTTGCAGGCACAAGAACTTCAGCACTCAGACACTATTCTAGACACCTTAAGGGGGATTCCTCCAGTCAGATGTCTACAGTGCAGATAGGCACATCTGAACTCATCATCCTGCCACCTTTTGTAGTCATGGGGAGAAACTGCACCGTCTTCAAGGGTACGAGTCATCTCATCCAGACACAGGCATCTCTCTCAGGTCCAACGAATGGCACCTGAGAAGACCCTATTTTCTTCAAAGGGCTTTGCTGGGGTACAAGGGGAGCTGCTCAGGTATAGGTCTTTCTATAGGTCTCCCAAGCTACGTGATTTAAGTCCTACCACTGATGGCTACAAGGCCAAAATAAAAACATAGCACAAGCATAGACTCCTCCAGTGAAGGTGGCTGACCTTGCTCCCTTCTTGCCATAGAAATAGCAAACAGAATATTTTCTTATGATATTCTGAGAGCTTTCACTCTGGGTCCAACCCCTTTGTTTGCAGTGATCACACTGAGAGTTTGATGACAAGCTTTGCTTGCTACATAGGACTCAAAACGTGCTGAGACGCCTGCCCACTAAAGGGTAAACACATTTTCCTTTTTTCCAGGAGAGATGCCTCTCACAGAACAGGTGAAAAATTAGCCTCGTTGGGTTTTTTTTTTCTACTTAATCCAAACTTGTTTACTCATCCCAAGAAACCAAAGAGCTTGAAATAACAAATGGAAGGGACTGAGACACCACAAGGGTTGGGTGCCCCATGAAACCCAATCCGTCTTTGATGTGTTTGTGTGGGTGGACATGAGGGCAAAACATAGCCCGAGATTTCTAAGTCAAATGTAAAGCAAACGACCATTAGGAAAAAAAAAAGTTATATCAAAGCAGAGAAATTGAAAGTCTCTTCCTTCTTCTGACATAATAATTATTCTAATGCCACATGTGGAATAAGAGTAACAGGAGTAGCCTTAAGACTCCTTTATTAGCAGTATTATTCAGTAGAAGACTTTTCAGATCCCTTTAGCTCTTAGGGCACATATCCCTGGTTCCTGCAAGCTGGCTTTGCATGGAGATATTAGATTAAATCTGTCAGCCATTTCATTTCATTTTTCCTTCCCTTCCATGACAGATGCTTTAAAATTCACGTCACAGGTTGAGTAGACTCTGCAACCCGCTAACTAAATCAAGTCCTTTTTGGTTTAGGAATCGCTTGCGTCAACTGGGGCAAACACAAGACCTAAATAAATCATCTTTGGGGACGGGTGGTGGGACGGGACAAAGGCAGCCACAAACCCAAGAAAGATCTAAATAGTTGCTGGCACATTTTGCTTTTTTTCCAGAGTGTGTATTTGCTGGAGGAACCAAGCTACGCATCAAAGGGATATCAGCTTGCAGGACAACGTGTTGTCTTTTCCAACGCACTGAGCCCAATCAGCAGCAGATAATGTCTCTCTGTGGTGATCCAGTCCTCCTTTCTTGGCTCAGGCATGGGAAAGCTCTAACATTACCCATGGACAGCCCTGTCTTACACCTCCCCAAGTCAGATCGGCTACGTTTGAGGGGATGCCGACACATCGCTCCAACCCCCAAGGTCCCCAAAGGGACAAAGGAGGTCTCAGCACCACCCAAGACTGGAAATCCTTAAGTCAAGGAAGAGTTTGGACCATCGAGCACCAAAACTGAGGCCCCGTTATTGAGCGTTACAGTCACACTTACATTGTGCAGCTTGTAGTAGAGCCCGCAGGCGTTACAGACGGGATCGCCGTTGGCATTTCTCCTCCACAGGGTGGTAGTGGTGGTCTGACAGTTGGCGCAGGACGTGCCCGCCCTCCTGGCTGCAGACTGCGGGAAGGAGGGGGAGAGACAGGGGAAGAGAAGGAGAGGGAGAGAAAAGCACCAGTATTAAAATAAAAAAAAAAAAAAAAAAAAAAAAAAAAAAAGAAGATGCAATCAGCAAAATTGCTGAGAAAGAAAACATCAACCCTGCAAGACTGACGCACATCGGCAGAGGCCTCCAGAAACTGGCTTGTGAGAACAAATAATAATTCTGAAAAAAATCCCCGAGGTACTTTAATCCCAAATTATATATGAACTGAATCAGGTGCCAAAGGGCATCCTAAAAGTGAGTGCTAAACCTCTGATAGAACTCATCAAAATTAGCAGCTCTGGCACAGCCCATTCCAGAGGGGAAAATATTATTTAAATGCCAACATGTCTTTCCATCTTAATTCTCTCAGACCCCCCAGGGGTCTAATTCTGCAGTCAGGGCCTGAACCAACAATTGCCGGAGTCAACGGCGTGACTCACGCCGGCTCCAGCGAGCGCCGGGTGAGACCCGCGCTGAGCTTGGTGGGCAGCTGCTCGCTGGGTCCAACCGCAAGCACGGCCCGGTCCTGTAAATTCAGCTGAGCTTCAAAGGATACGGGCTCCAGATCGGAAATAACACTGTGGCAAAGAGCGAGAATCCCAACTTTTTAATTACACCCTTTTGCAGCCTAAACCTTCATGTTTATTTAAGGATTGGTAATGAGCCTGAAAGAAGAATTTACCATTTCATAAAGGGGGAGGGACAAGGAAAAAAAGTCTACATGTCAAGGTGTATAAAGAAGCTTTTTTGTTGGCTGTGATAATGATTTAGCAAAGCCAAATTTAGCAAACGTCGCTCCTCTTCCACATGCATGAATTCCTGCTTATCATTTAAAAACTGTAACTTTAGCAAACAAATTGTCCTTCTGCCACTGAAGGAGGAAAAGGAGTTTGCAGACTCCTATGTGAATGCGTATGCATGTCTGCCTGTGTGCAAGTGCCTACAGCTCCTAAAAAAAGACCTTTAGATCCCCGTCCTTTCTCTTCTTCATCAATATGACACAGTCCCAGAGCTCTGATTTCATCCCGATGCGTTGCTTTCAATGGGACTGCTCATGTGCTTAAAGTTAAAACATGTGCTTAAGCGATTTGCCAGATCATAGCAATGCTTGGCACCTTGCAGAACTGAGCCTTTAATGCTCTCTTTTGTGCTCTTACTGTTTCAAATTTACCCCTCACCCCACACAGCCGCACACTGTAGCACATCCAACATTTAAAAAAAAAAAAACAAAAAAAAACACCGCATCTTTGGATACCGTACAACAAACCCAAAATGCAAACATGGACACTGGCACAGCGCTAGCGTTAATACCAGCTCTTGTTAGGTCATGTTGCAATTTTAATCATAATTGAATGCGGCGTAGGTGGGGAGAGGACGGGTTGGTTTTGTTTTAGATAGAGTATGATTTTTTTTTTTTAAATTAGACAAAAAGGACTGTCTAAAATATAAATAAAACGATACCCGTGAGCATTAGGAAGCATCACAGAGAGCCTGGTCTGACAGCAAGGGGCTGTCACCAGCTGCCCATGGGGACAGTTCCATTTCGCCTGACCATAAACCACGCTGAAACAAGCCGGTCTCAAGCCCGATGAGACCTCTAGCTGACTTCTCCATGCTGATGACAAGCAGGAGCTGGGAACGGCACATGGGTCTTTGGTTGCAAAAATCCCAGCAGGAGAAGCTGAAACATCCCACCACGAACGGCAGAGCCCCCAGCAGATGTGCACATACACGCCTCGGTCCTGTCCTCCTCCGGACCATGCCGCGGCCCCAAATTTGTTTCCCATCAAAATCAACGGGTTAAAAAGCGTGCTTCAAACGCAGCATGGACTCAACTGTTTGCAGAGCCGGGCTCTCGCCGAGACCCGGGGATCGACTCTGCAGGTCTCTGCCCCCCCGGCTCCCGCCGGCCGGCACGGGTGGCTCGCGGGCTGGATTGAGTCTCTCGGTGGCAGCTTTTCCCTTATCAGACCCAAAAATCAAGCCTAAGGAAATTTCTAAAAACCAGTGATATTTGACTCAGCCCACACAGGGGAAACATCTCCTTTGAAGATATTTGGGGTTTCTACACGGCGCTCACCGTAATTTCTCTTACAGTAAGTGCGTTTAAAAGACACGCCTGGTCACCACCTTGCTACCTTCAAACAAACTCTGACATTAAATAAATCACAACATCCACTATCTTCTCTAAAACTTTTTCCATCTGCCGTGTTTCCCCTACAAAAATTCAGCGTCGTTAGCTAAATATTTTAAACTCTGTGCTCTTTCGGTCCCAGACTGTACCTTTCATGCTGTACCAACTTATACTGGAGACACTGGCAGTGGGCAGGAAACAATGAATAATAACGCTATTGTAAAAGCTCCCAGCAATGGGATCCACTGCTGCTAGTCACCGACCCGAGCCTGACCACGTAAGTAATGGGATGACTAATAGGGTGCCCCATATCATCTGTAGGACCAGACCCCACGGCCCGGTTGCTTTGGGCGAGGGCACAACTTCAGAAGCGCTGGCGGTGATGAGAAGATGGACTTGAGGACGGTGCAGGAATAACCAAGCACTTACAAAGATGCTTAATTAAGGGGCGTTTTCGGTGTCTGGATTTACATGGGGTACCCACAAAGCTGCAAGCATCAGCTTCCTAAAATAAGACTGCACGGGCATGGGCCTGCTGAGAAATTGGCTATAATCCTTCCAAAACCAGCACTGCTGGACACGGAAACAGAGAGCTCTGCATCCACGTGGGCAGGGAAGGGAAGAAAATCCAAAGGAAGGTTTTATCTCAGCAACAGAAGTGACAGGGCTGCCACTGGCTTCGACGGGGCCAGGAACGGTCTCCAAGAGGGCTGTAGATCTTTTAAGTAGAGCGGTGGTGTGGTACCACCTGCCCGTTCCTGATCCTCCTGCCAACATCTCCAGATCTTCCACCTTCCTCCCAAAAGGAAGCAGAGCTGTCTGAGCCCCCCTCGGCTGGCAAGGCTCCATCCATCTCCCTTAAAGAAAGCCCTTACAAAGACGCCCATTGAATTTAATAAGGTTTGGGCTGGGTCCTCAGCATCTAAGGATTTATTTGCCTCTTCTCTCCAACCCGTCGGAGTCCTTTCATTAGTTTCAGCGTGCCTGGGATCAGAGCCTACAAAACCAGCCCAAGGTCACGCAGGAAACTTGTGGCAGAGGGAGAGGAGCACACGCTGGATCCCCACCCTGAGCCTCCATACACACACCGCCTTCCCCAGCCGCTCGCCTTCACGAGTCAGGAAAGATGAAGTCAAGCCACGGGCACGCAGACATCTACATCCACGCACACGAAATGCAAACACGGGCCCAGCTTTGGTGCCTTCTGATTTTTTTTTTTTTTAAGGTTAGCAAGGGAAATAAATATAGAGGCAAACAACGTTAGAAATGTTTCTCCTTTTTTTTTTTTTAAAGGAAAAAAAAAAATATATATAGAAAAATCAAAAGTTCTCATTTAGCAGAGGCTGTATTCAAAGAACGGGAACTTTTTTGTAACTTAAACTTTAACTAAAATGCCCAAGATTGGAGTGATTATGCAAGACAAGGTCTCTCTTTACTTTTTTTCTTTCTTTCTCCTTTCCCCCCCCCCCCGCCAAGAATGACCTTTTACAATGTATTTATTTATATAGTTCATTTTACATGTGCCGGGCTGAGGGTGACTCGGGACATTCTTTCGTGGTTCCATCAGACACTTTTTGAAAGCTCTCCCCCCCCTTTCCAGCCGCTTTCCTATTCTGCCTCCCCCTCCGCTTGTTTGGATACGCTCAAGCTCCTGTGTGTTTGGGCTGGGGAAACGGAGCTGTTGTTTAGGAGTTATCTCCAGGGCTCAGATATCCGGCAGCTTTTTCCTAGGAAGTTAACTTTACACATAAAGAGAGAACGAGGCAAAAAAAAAAAGAAAAAAAGAAAAAAGCAAATGAGGTGTATGTGTTTAAGACAGAAGGGCCGGGGGGAGGAGGAGAAGAGAACAAGAGAGCTGCCCAAAAAAATTTAAAATCCCAGCCCGCACTTCCCTCCCTAGAAAGCCTTTCCTTTTTTCTAACAAGGCTATGAAAGACGAGGGAGACCAACATTTTCCTAGACAGGAAAAGCCCAGGGGAAGGCACAGAGAGGTTTCGCCCACGGGAAGTTTGGGTGTAGAGGAGCAAACCTCCATCTTCCCCCAAACCCCCACGGCCAGACAGAGCCGGCGCCGCTGCCCCTCGCAGCGTAACCCCTCCTGGGGTCGTATCCTGCAAACGCTTCCCAGCGCCTGTGGAAGTAACACCGGTCCAATTTTGCCGACATCTCACAGGTGTGGAAGCTGAATCCGTGCCTAAGAGTTGCCGGACCGAGGCCGTGAGCACCTTCACGGGGAACACGATGTTCCCGCAGGATCCGGCACAAGCCTCACGCAACCGGCCGGATCCATCCATCAGCTCAGAAACTCCGCGGAGAGGCAAGAGCCGCTTTTCCTCCGCATTTTGAGCGGCCCCCAGGAGCCCGTCCACGTCTTTAATCCTAACGCAACCAAACGTGCCTCGATTCGAAACATTCAATAACTTCCCAAGCAGGCAACTTTTTTTTTTTCCCCCTGCTTGATATATTTTTTCCCCTTGTGGTTTGCCTGATTATTTGCCAAATATACTTCAACGCATTTATTAGCCGTGCCCACAGCTTCCAGACCTTTTTGTGGCTTCCAGGGAAATTCATAAATAGATCGCTGGGGATGCTGTAACGTATTGCCTGTACGTAGTACAGTCGTGAGGCTTGCAACTATTATTTCAAATATTTACCCGCGCTTTTCGTCTTCCTCCAACTTCTGTGGCCCTGGGCACACGCTCGGCTTTGCACGCTCACCGGGCTTTGCCATCCCCTACCTCGTGTCCTCACACCGACTCAGAGGGGGATGACACAATTTGAGGCCCTGGCTCAGGTACAAATGACCACACCAGGTTCAAGTGGCACCAGGACCATCAGCCAAGTGCTTTGCAGGACCAAGGTCCAACCGGTGGCCCAGTGGCACCAGCTACGGTGACCGGTACCCAGCCTGGGTCCCCCCTCCGCAACACTGGCAGCCAAGGGGGATGGAGACACACTTGGGAAGGGGAGGACAGGAGTGTAGAGAGCCCAGGAGAAATCTTCTTCTCCTGATAATCTCTTTGGTCACTAGGAAATGATTACTCTGCCCTCAGCCCCTGGAAAGAGCCACTGTCCTTGCGTCGCCATCCAGAAGCGCTGTGCAGAGGCATCTGCCCCATTGCAACCTGGGAGAAAACTCAGTTCTGGTTTGCAAGAAGCCCTGGATTTTGTTTTTTTAACCTGTTTTGCAGTTTGCAAGAGGACCAGACAACTGAGGCCCACAGCAGCTGGGAGCATCTCTCCTAGCATCCCCTCCTCCCAGCCCTCTGACGTACTGGGACCAGATTTTGGAGCTGGCTGAGCTTCCCTGTCCATCCTGAGCTGCAGACAAGAAGCAAAAGTTGCAGAAGAAGGAAAAGAAAGAATAAAAAAAGGAGACTCACCAGCCTTCTCTTGGGTTTGATCAAGGGCCGGTTCTGCCCGTTCATTTTGTGATAGAGTCCACAGGCGTTACACAAATAGTGCCCGGTGCCGTCTCTTCTCCACAGAGGGGTTGAGGTAGCCCCACAATTTACACACTCCCTGCCTTCTGGAAACAAGAGAACACATAGTTCACTTAGGGAAAGTGGAGGTAAAAGGGGCTGGGGAAAGCCCCCCCCTTGATCAAGGGCCGGTTCTGCCCGTTCATTTTGTGATAGAGTCCACAGGCGTTACACAAATAGTGCCCGGTGCCGTCTCTTCTCCACAGAGGGGTTGAGGTAGCCCCACAATTTACACACTCCCTGCCTTCTGGAAACAAGAGAACACATAGTTCACTTAGGGAAAGTGGAGGTAAAAGGGGCTGGGGAAAGCCCCCCCCCCCATCCATGCCAGATCCTGCCAGTCCTCTCCAAGCTCAGGATGTCCAAGCAAGGGTCCAAGGCCATGGCTGCGCGACATCCCTGGCACA